CAGACGGCTCTACGCCCTGGGCCACTCTGAACTGGGCTGCTGCAGAATAGAGATGTGTTGACAAATAACACGGCACTCTCTGTCTCTGCAGTGAGATATTATAAAGAACTGACTGGTCTACTGGAAGAAATCTGATATAATTTTACTTAAGTTTTAGTGATAATTTTCTAAGGTGTGATAGTGACACTGTGTTAAAGAAGGTTCTTGTTAGGAAATACCTGCCAAAGTGTTTAGGGTTTATGGGTCATGATGTTGTCAACTTACTTTCTTCTTCTTCTTTAAAGATTTATTTTCTTTTTCATGCATACAAGAGCTGCGGTGTAGGCCATAGGTGCAGGGTGGGGGTTGTACGCGTGACAGGATTCAATAGAGATAGAGTTGGGAGCAGAATAGGAGGATCCACTGAAATACACTGCTGAAGGGAGCAGCAGGCAGGACAGGAGGGGTCTGCTGCACCCTGGCTGGGGATCGAACTCATGCTGCAGTGGCTATGATAGCTTCCTAGTGCTGAGACAACCCCTTGTGAGATCAGGGAGGCCCACAACTCACTTCCATAAAAAAAGAGTGTGCAAAAAAAAAAAAAAAAAAAAGCCTTGGAACAATAACAAAATTAGAATATTGTATTGTGTAGCAATAGTATCTTTTTTTTAAGATTTAAATTTTTTTTATGCATACAGAACTGGGGCACAAGCCATATCTCTGAAAAAAAAAAAAAAAAAAAGAGTGTGCATGTGAAGGTGTGTGTGTCTGAGGAGACACACACACACGGAGGAGCACATGTCCCAAACATCGACAGCTGGTAATGCAGGTGGATGGGTCTGCTGTGTACTCTTGCATTTTTTTTTTTGCGGGCCTAGAAGTTTTCAATCCATGAAGGTGGGTCAGGACTTAAGCTCATTCTGCAACAAGATCACATTGGCTGCCTGCAGACTACAGGGCAGCTAGGGACAGGAAGGAGGAAAATTTTTGACCATAGTACACATACCTTTCTGCATCTCTCTCTTTTTTTTTTAAAGTATAATTGACATACAATTTAGTGATTCAACATCTGTATACACCATGAAATGATCACCATAATATGTCTAGTGGTGGCCTCTTCTTAGACCTTTTTTGTATCTTCTGAATTTTGAATCTAATAAATGCTATCTATGTCAACAACAACAAAATTACATGGAAAAACTTACTCCTCTCTAATTTTAATCATTCATAGTATCAAACCTTGGTGAATTCAATTTCCACAAACAAACACCCAAGGCCCCTGAGGATGGTATTTTTGTTCATTACAAAATTCTATAAAGTATTTATAAAGAAATTTTACCTAGAAATTATAAAGCAAAAGTCACTCTAACTGCTTCTGGATGTTGGGGGTCTAAATGCTTTTTCAACTCAAGCTATACCCTAGACTGTGTTCTCCTTTGCTTTTATTGTTCTAGAAAATCTATAGCAGGAATGCACCCGACATAATGCAACTGACCTAGTTTCCAATACTTTTTTTTTTTTGCATAAAAAGTCACAAAAAATTACTGTGAAGCTTCCTGTTAAGACTTTTAGTCACCTTTGGATAACTGAAACTTCTGGGAATTAAAAAGAGTTTTTTCTTCTCCACTGAAGCATTATTCATTTATATAGCCCTCCCCAAAGGGGAGACAACTGTGCCGAGATGATTATATAAAATTAGTTATAATAAAAAACATAAAGCATGTCACTACATACTGACACAAGTGATTCTCACATTATATAATTAAGTAAAAATGTCTACTGTATATTGCAGGGAGATGATGCGTGTGCAATATCTGTGCTCTTATATGCAGGTGGTTTCTCTGGAAAAATAAAGAAACTAGAATAGTGGGGGCCTCAGGGAGGGAAACTTGGGAACTGCCTAATTTTAAGCCTAATATTAAGTCTAATTTTCACTCTAATCTATTTTGGAACCAATTATTCAAAATTATTTTAAAAAGCATAAATATAGTTTGATGAATGTGGCCCAGTATCATCTCCTTTACAAGGGATATGTTTTTAAAACCAGAAGGAAATAAGAATAACTTGTAATTCTACGGGTGGAAAAGTGCATCTCCTGCTAATCAAGTTCTGGTTGTTTTGTAAACAGGACCATTTTCTTCTTTTTTTAATTTGCCATATAGTCTCTCCTTTTAATTTGTCTAAAAGTAAAAGTAAAATGTTTATTAACTGTTTTAGATTTAAATGCATATTTTAAGTAGTTCACATTTAAGTGTCCACTTAAAACCATTTTGCAAACCATTTCCCAAATGTTTAATTACTTTTTGAAAATAATTTAGATGACAACATCATATACTTTTAGACACACAGTCTTAGTCTAATTAGTGATTTTCTGAAGTATAATTAGTAGTGTTCTTCACAGAGGGATGGACTGGTAATTCGCAAGTTATTTTCTGTATATTCTAGGATTGAGCAAGTAAGTCAATAAACTGTAGAGCTTGCTTTTCTTACTGACAGAACAAGAGCTACAAACATGGGAAAGGAGGGGACTTGAATAATGATACATTGGTCCTGGGTTAGAAGGATTAATGTGAACTATGTAAGATAGATTGATAGGGAGGTAAATAGCTATAGATGTTGAATACACAGAATTATGTGTAAGCCCCTGCTGAGACTACCCTAGTAAGAATAAATATTAGTGCTCAGATTTTGCTTCCCAATTGCTGCCTTTATGGGAAGGAAGAAGGCTCCTTAAAGAAATGGTTGATTCCAGGGTAGGGGCACAGAAAGCAAAAGATGAATAAGGAATTATCTTATTTTTTCAGAAATTAGAGTTCCTCCAAGCATGATGGAAACACGTCTGCTGGACCAGGAAGACAATTTGGAAGGTTAACTACTGGTCGTCAAATTAATTTGGACTGTAAGAATTCAAAACTTGGGCCCTCCCTGGTGGCACAAGGGGTTAAAGCACAGCACTATTACGCTAACCACAGCCACTGTGGCACGAGTTCAATCCCCGCCCCAGAGCTCACCCACATGGCGCGGCAGACCTCTCCTGACCTGCCCGCTGCTCCCCTCAGCAGCGTACTTTGTTGATCTGCCTGTTCTTTTCCCGACTCTGTCTCTGGTGAATCCTTCTATCCCCTACACCTCTGGCCTACACCCCAGTTCTGTATGCGTGAATACATAAATCTTTTTTTTTTTTTAAAGAATTTATAACTCACTGAATTAGATAAGAATTTATTAGTCCAGACTGATATAAATAAACATGTAAATATAGGGGGAAAGGAAAAACTCTTCTTTAGAGTAAAATGCCAACAATAAATGTAGAACCAGTGATAGAATTAGAAAATCTCTATTAGGCGAATGTCAACAGTAACAGCTGATTTAATAATAAATGATTTGGTGGAATAAACTATCACTGGAAGCTTAAGCTATTGATAGCATGTTTACTGAAAAACTACACAGCCTCAGTGCACATCTTAGAAGAAACTTGTTAACAGTGCAGCAGTGAGTGTCTTAAGCAATTTTTCGGTTAACACTGCAAATAGTCAGGCAAGGACACATTTCTGTGGCAAGCCTGCCTCTGAATCTAATCATGGGGAAACAGAGAAACCCGAACTGAAGGAGTCTATTACATAATAGGTCTATTTTCTTAAAAAATATCAAGGATGGCACACGGGTGATTTAATGGCGATGGGAAGCCCACAGGGATTACAACTGAGATGGGAAAAGGCACACAATGATGTAAAAATAAACTACCACATTAAAGTAAAAAAAATCAAGGTTTGGTCTCCTTGGTGGTGCAAAAGGTGAAGTTTCAGCACTGTGAAGCTATCAGCAGCCATTGCAGCATGAGTTTGATCCCCAGTCACGAGCTGACCCACATGGTGTAGCAGACCTCTCCTGTCCCACGTGTTGCTCCCCTCAGCAGTGTACTTCAGTAGATCAGCCTGTTCTGCTCCCCATTCTGTCTCTGGTGAATCTTCTCACCCCTCCCCACCACCTCTGACTACACACCCCTCTCCCACCTCTGACCTACAAGCCAGTTCTTATATGCATGAAAAAAAAAAAAAAAAGACATAGAGAAGCTTTTGAATACTTCAACCATGCAAGAGAAAAACAGTGGAAACAAAGGATTAAGGAAGGTAGGCCAAAATGTTAGGGTAAGGAATAATTCCTCCTAGGTGGGAAAAAGAGGTACTGGAAGAAATGAAACCATGGAGTATGCTCAGAATTAGAGGGTACCAGAAGCTAGAAGAGTCCAAGGATCTGAACATAAGGGAACAAAGCTGATGACCCTCGGAGACACTTTTGGATACATAGTCCTTATGCGGTTTTACCAGTTACCCAAAGAAATTTACTGGCACTACAGCAAGGTAAGAGCAGGCTGAGGCAGGTGGTCAGATGGTGGGATCCCTCCGTCTACCGACATCCCCTGGAGCAGGCCCGTCACCCACTGTTGAGTTATAGCACTTCCAGTCCCTGAGACTTTCTGGTTGGCACCTCAAAGTTTTCAGCACTTCGCTACCCAGCCTACATTTTCATGACCTGGGGCTTGCTATAGGAGCTAAGGAAATGATCTGAAATAAGCTTTCATGTTCAATGCCCATAATACCTTTCATTGAGTAATATATCCATTAATATATACTAACACTGGCTCTAATATCGAGTAGTTGTCAAGGACTATGCTAAGTGCTTTATGCAGATTATCTCAGTCCTCCCAGCTAGTCCATGGGCCAGTAGTTTCATTAGCTCCATTTCACCAATGAGGGAAAGTAAGTCTAGAGAGAGAAATTAATTTGCTCCATGGCGCAATGTTTAGATTCAAATCCATGAGTTTGAGTCTGGAGTCTCTTCTTAATTCCACAATGCTAGGCTGGAGGAAAAAATCTTAATTAAGAAGAAAAAAGGTCATCAATTACAAGCAAGGAATCTTACAACTAACAAACTTGGAGCCGCAGATTTATCTTACTAAACCCACATTCCCTTTTTTCCATTTGGTAATTACCTAAACTTTCATTTGATAAGGGGAGTGTTACCTGACAGAAGAATTGTTGCTGTGCTCCTGCTCCGGGGGTGTTACTGAAGGTGCTGGTAGATTTGGAAGAAGAAACTGGAAGACGATGAGACGCACTGACTGGTACTGGAGTCCTGTTTGGCTGGGCCAGCTGATCTCCCGTAAAGTTTGATCCTGACGCACCAGACTGAACCGCAGACCCAAGGCTAGGATGGGCAGTGCTGGACGAGCTGACAACAGGGAACCGGTTGGGCCCTGCCATGTTTGTCACCGGGGGCATGGAGGTGAAGCCCGGCCTTCCTTGGGAGACGCTGCTCTGCCCAGGGGACAGATGTAACACCGTTGGTGATGCCTGCTGCAAGGGCGTCTGTCCACTGACAATCTGAGGGGAGGCATGATTGACTATCACCGGACTTCCAGAGGAGGCGAACGTTTGCCCAGACACTAACTGGACGGCAGTATTCTGGTTGTTCAGCATCTGTCCAGAATATGGTTGGCTGGTCCTGAGCATGTTGGAAGAGTTTCTGTTCAACATGACATGCTCTGAGGCCACCTGTCCAGAAATGAGCTGAGATGGCTGAGTCTGCAGAAGTTGCCCATTTATGGTCTGAACATGGTGTACTGAGTTCGAACTGACCGAAAGGCTTGTAGGTATGAGGAACTGACTCTGGGGTGTGTGTGGCTGGCCCATGGGAGAGTGAATAACGATGCTACCCCCAGCACTGCTCCCCGCCTGTGAGGTGACTGGCTTTCTTGTGTTCTGCTGGTTGACAATGTTCACAGACATGTGTGGACCAACCACCGAGCCCTGGGGTGAGCTTGCAGAGGCAAAAGAGATGCCTTGCTGAACATGGTGCTGCTGTATTCCCAGATTGTTCACATTGTATGTACTCTGCTGACCCATCTGGACAGGCTTTGGCTGGATATTAATGGGGACTTTATTTGAATTTGGTGCAAGACCCCTCTGTATGATGATGTTATGCACAGGTAAAGATGTCTGGAAATTCGTGCTGTTAAATGGAACGGTGACAGGCTGTGCTACTGGGCTGGAGCCGGAGCTCCCAAACAAGGAGCTGCCATTAGGAGTCTGTCTATGAACCAGAAGTCCCCCACTCACATTTGGTGGGGCTTGCTGTCCGCTGCCCTTTAATATTATTTGAGATCCGTCGAGGTTATTAATAGTCATCATGGAAGGTTGATTACCAAATGATCCGATCAGCTGTATCTGACTAGAACCACTAATCTGACTGCTATTAGATAAATGCTGGCTGGGAACACTGATCCCCACATGTTGCATGAAGCCATGTTGCACACCCACTGTATTGCTCGCAAACGATGTTCCGACAGGCACGTGAGTCACCCCTATAGGTTGAAGCGTCTGACCTGAGTAATTAGAAACATTAGAAGCCTGAGTAAAGGATGCTGATGAAGAAGGATGAAGCTGAGCTTGTGCAAACTGTTGGCTTGAACCTATACTGGCATCCAAATATGCCTCTTCTGCCAAAGTCTGTTCAGTGATATTGGCCTCCTGCAAGGATTTCTGAAGAATGTCAAAAGGTTGGTCCTCACTGAGATCAGGGAGAGGAGAAGATTCAAGTTCATCTTCAAGAAACTGAAGGCTACTTGAAAGTGGCAGTCCATCACTGGGCCCTTCTCCAAGTTGGTTGCTTACCACCTTGAGGGATGACTTAGGATCAGCATTCTAAAAAAACAAGTAGTAAGTTACACACCAGAGTTGACCTTCCTTTCCAAAGAGAGTCTTAAAAAGAAAGCTAATCTCACTTTTGAATATGAATAGAGCACAACAGTCTGCTTCTTAGACACAACTCTCCCCACTGTTCACCTCATTTTGATACTAAATTTCCCTAAGGATGATGCTTAGTAATATTTTCGTAAGTATGCATTCATTGCTCTGTAAATTATTTTATAGGAAATAGACTGATATAGCTGAAGTTCACATAGACTGATGATAGCTGAAGTTCAGCTTCATTTTTTGAGATATTAGCACAGACTTTATTTTTCAGGATTGCTCCCAGGTCAAGACTTGAGTGGGACTCAGCCCAGTGTGTGTGTGTATCCAGGGTATGGCCACGTCTGGTTGGTACCCTGGCGTCTATGTAAGCTTTGGCAGCTCTGACTGTTGCTCTCCTGGGAGGGAATCCAGACTCAGTCCTGTCTTTCAAGGTTTCAAAACACCCCTAGGTCTAACCTCTACTCAATGCAAAACTAGTCCAGATAAAAGCAAGCTTCTCACATAACATGTGAATGGACATTTGATTTCCTAGCTGTTATTAGCTTAGTAAATGCTTTAAAAGCCACTTCAGTGTCCTGCTCAAAAGTTGGTCAATATTTATCAAACATTCTTAAGGTGCTAGTGTCTGTGCATAAGGAATCTTTAAGGAATAGGCATTCCAACTAAAGACAACACCAACAGAAAGGAATGTGGTCATTGGACAGTAGTAAGATACAGCCCACTGCTCAGCAGTTTTTCGTGGGACATGAAAGTTATGAATGAAAAGACAAGGAATCAACAGCTATTTAGAATAATGTGAAGACAATGTGAACTTAATACTACTGAACAGTATACTTAAAATGGTCAGGGTGGTAAGCTTCATGTTGTATATAATTTAATGCAATTAAAACATAAAGTTTTAAAAAAGATGAATAAGGTAGAGATGCTCAGCCTAGGTTAATAAGGTGTCAGGGGCCAATGATGGGAAGAACTAGATAAAAAAGTTTACAATAGTTCACTGACACCCACTCAATAATTTAAGTGGGGCTAATGTCTCACTCGAGTGGATGCTATCTCAAGATTTAAAGAATCATCTGAAAGAAAGTAAAGATTTTTTTTTTGCAGAGAAATACAAGGACAACAATGGCATCTCCTGAGTGATGATACAGAGTTTAGTGTTTTTACAAACAAAAATTAACAGACTATAGAGTTAAGTACTCATATTTTTCAGAGTTTTTAAAAAAATTATATTTAAAGTTTTAAAAAATTTCTACTTAAATTATTAAAAATTTATATTTAAAATAAAAAAAATATATTTCTGCTACACTTGACTTGATGCAGGACAAGTTTCCAATAAGTACATACTGAATGAAGCTGTCTAAAAAGATAGAATTAATGCTCATGTGGAAGGGGAGAGTTGGTAAACAGAAATCACTAATGTGGAAGAAGAGGTGAAATGTCTACTATGGGTTTAATGGAATCACATGAGCTATTACTCGTTCTAAGCGCACTTCAAAAATACCCCTAACTTATAGCATATCAGTATCAAGATTTTAAAGCTAACTCTACTATGTGGAGGAGTCTTATGTGATGTAATCTGACAAATCTTACACATATCTAGACAAATGAAATAGTGTCTGCCTTCTCAAGTCCTTTTTGGATATGATTTCATTTTATAGATGAAGAAAATCAAGGCTCTGATGATAAGTTACACTTACCAAGTGCAATGTGATTTCCAAGTGATTTCCACAGACTAGTCAATTAATTTTAGCCACCCTATGAAGGTAGCTCTACTAGTCTCCTGGTACGGAAATTGAAGCTTACAAAGACTTAGCGATATATCCAAGGTTAGGAAGTTAGGAAGTGTCAGGGTGAGGATTCAACACTTGGGCGGCCTGACTTTAGACTACTATGTGGTAGAACAAGGCGGTTGAAAAGATTAAAGTAATGGAGGCTAAACCACAGTAATTGGATAGGCAGAGCTCCTGTTTCCCCCAAGTCATTTATTTTATCCAGGTGCTCCTCCAACTTAAGAATGTGGGTAGGAGACGACCCAGCAACCCCACTCCTAGGTATCTACCCAAAAGACACAAAAACACTGATTCAAAAAGATACCTGCACCCCCATGTTTATTCC